TCCCGCAGAGATCTCAAGTGGATTCTTCCAGATCTTCATATACTTGTACTTGGATATTCTAGTTATTCCGTATCTGATTCTCCAACTAGATGAAATTTCCAGGAAGAGGCTTCCATGCTGGTTTTGCTCAGCTCAGTGCCATCCTAGCTCTTGGTGCAGGGTCAGGCTTAAGGAAAAACTTGTAGACCAGAGAATAAGGGGCAGGCCTGGCCCTTCACAGAAGGACCCAGCAGATGGAAGGCATGCTATTGAGAATTCTTCTATGCAGGAGTTTCCTAATTTTTGATCACCTCTGTTATGTGCCTGATGGGTCAAACTTTCATGAAGAGTGAGGATTTCTGGGAAATGTTTCAGATCTACATTTCTCCAAAAATATAACGTGCATTTCTGGGGGCTTCCCAATGAAGGTACTGCGAAGGCAAAAGGCCAGGGAGCTGGGCCTAGTGAGAGTACTAGACAGCCTTATCATCACTCCTGGGACACAATACCTGACACCCACAACCTGATGGAGGAGAGGTTTACTGTGGCTCACCCTTCCAGGGGATTCAGTTTGTGGTCAGCTGCTCCAAGGCAGGAACATCATGGCAGAAGGGTATGGCAGAGCAAAGATGGATAGTTTATGGTGACTGGGAAGCAGAAGAGGGGAACAGCACCAGAGATGAAGGCTTGAGGGATCAGATATAGACTTCAAAGTCACACCTCCATGACCCACCAGACACACCCAGAAAGCCAATCAAGTTGACGATTAAGTTTAACTGTCATGGTGAGTTTTTATATTTTCCATAGCCAAGTAGTTTTAAAATCCCCTGGGCTACTTTTACTATGGTAGGAAGAGCTGCTCTATGATAACCATTGTATTGCTTTAGCCAAGGTCCTTGTCTAATTTGTGTTTCAGTTTCTCAGTTAGCAAAGGGGGCTGTGCATCATGGATGGATCTCTGCAATGTCTACCACCTTTAACACACAGCTTTCTAAAAGGATTCTAGTCAACCTGTATTTGCCAGTAGTTGTATATTAGTCAGCTTTCGCATCCCTGGAACAAAACACCTGACACCTGAAACTTAAAGGAGGAGGGTAATTTGGCTCGCAGTTTCTAGTGAGTTCAGCCCATGGTTCCCTGGCTCTAAGGCAGAAGTGGCCTGGGGAAAGGGCATTGTGTAGGATAGCTGCTCACCCCATGACAGCCAGGAAGCAGAGAGTGGGGACAGGAATGTACCCTTCCAGGTCACACCCCAGTGACTCTTCCAACCATGTCCCACCTCCTACAGCACATTCAGCTATGAACTCATCCATGATGGATCCACTCACTGGGCAGTGCAGCGCCCCATGATCCAATGATCTTCCAAACACATGAGACCCTGGGGGTATTCTAGATCTAAACTGTAACAAGTGGTAACTGGCAGGTCACTCCTTGCCTGGCACATGAAGCCTTGACTCTTTGTCTCTGTGGTCCCCTTCTGATGAATGACTGCCGTGTTCTTTTCAACATGGTGTCGGACCCCCCCCACACACCAGCTGAGGTCCTGAGAAGTCCTTGGGCACATTGGCAGGCAAGGAGAAGCCAGCGAGGGTTATCTGTCACACCCTGTGATGACACAGCGCACTCCCTGGGATGGTGTCCCCCCTTTCTTCCTACATTCTTGTTGCCTCCTGTGTCTCTTGCCTTTTTTGCAGCTGTGGCAGTTTTCACACTTGCTTCTGTGCCAGAATCACTGTGGTACCTGTTTAAACAAAGCCCTCAGGATGCTGTGCCCCCAGCATGTCTGACTCCACAGAAACCCCCATTTCTAACCCAGTCCCAGGTGCAGCAGCTGCTCCGGACCCCACTCACAAAATCCTGCTGCCTTGGGATGCAGCGTAAAGGAGAGAGAAGTACCGCTGACTATGGACATAGATTCCCAAGCCCAAACCAGAAAGCTCAACAGGTGTTGACACCAGAGGGTGAGCAATGAGCTGCTGCCAGGTGAAACCCCAGAGCCAGCCACACCTTGGCCAGCAGCGAGGCTCTGAGTCAGGGTCCAGACCACCTGTGGGAAAGGCAGTTCTCACTGGCATCACCGCAACCATAACGAGCATGAAAGCCTGTGTGAGGCCCGGGCCCATCCATCTCTTCCTCTGTGTCTGTGACTTAGTGAGAGCCAGGGCAGCTCCAGTCCTTGAGACTGGGCACTGAGGGACTGTCCACCTTCAGGAGATGACAGAGTTTGCAAGAGCTGGGAAGTGTGGCATTTGTGTATTTGGGACTTCCTTCACAAGAAAACTCTCTCTGGATGCTTGTGACCTGCTTGTCCCCAGGCCAGGAGTCAGGGAGGACTTTAGGACAAGCCCCAAATGCAGAAATACCTGTGGTCACTGCTTTGTACCCCAAATGCTGCATCCAGCCATCCAACCAATGGGAGGTCAAAGACAGCTGGGAAAAATGGAGCCTGTACTGAATACATACCATTTCTTTCCTTGTCATTATTCCCTGAACTATACAGTGTAACAGCTACTTAGTAGCATTACATTGTTCTGGGTACTAGAAGTATCCAGAGCTGACTTGAATCTTACAGAGGGATTTGTTTAGGTTCTATGCAGTGCTTCAGCACTTTATCTAAGTGCCTTGAGCAGCTGTGAGTTTTGCCTTTTTTGGGGGATGACAGACGGAGATCTCATATACAGATATGGAGGGGGAACCACTTATACAGCTGTATGGCCACATCTGGATTGGACTTTCCACTGACTCTGCTGGGGATGCCTATCCTGAGAGACCTCACTGCAAAAGCTTGTGCATCTTACTGTGTTAAAAGTAAGAGGGCCTTGCAAAGATGCGCAGCCAGGTAATTATTTACAAACACTTTCATGCATCCTATATACTGAGAGTCAGGGAAGTGCACAGAAGTGACCATGGGATATCGATCAGTAGGAGAGCTGTGAATGTTAGGAATAGCGGGACCTGGAGTCAGGCTAAGGAAATTGGATTCTTTGCAATTTACTGTCTGAGAGGATATTACAGGGATGCACTAGTGGGTGGAATGTCCCAAGGTCACACAGATGACCTTGAAGGATAAGAACAAAGCTCAACTAGATTCACTGTTCTCAATTTACGAAGGCAAAGCTACACAAATCCTATGGTATTAAGATTTCTGCCAAATTACACAGGGAGTATGACTTAGACTGCATGGATTGGGATGCTGAGGCTTCCACTTCTTAACTGTTCTGTCTTAGATAACTTCCTGGATGTCTCTGAGGCTCAGTATCCTCATCAATAAAATGGGAATAATAATAGGAATACAATATGTGCTTAAGATAAAGTTTTTAACGTAGAGTGTCTCAAAGGGTGCGTAGGATAATATAATATTTGTTCAGATATCCACTATAGTAAATGAAGTTTTTTTTCTTTTTTGTGATACTAGGGTTTGAAGCCAGGACATTTGCTCTGAGCTACATCCCCAGTCTTTTTTAAAAAAATGTTTTATTTTGAGACAGAGTCTGGCTAAGTCACTAAGTTGCCCAAGTTGGGCTCCAACTTGTACTCCTTCAGCCTCAGCCTCTTAGAATGCTAGAACTGCAGGCCTACATGCCTGGCTGAAGTATTTCCTATTTTCTATTAAATAAATTGCCAAAGTCGAATTTTAGATGATTTATGCCTTTAACCCTAAAACCCTTACAGTAGATGTTATCTAGAAGTCATTACCTTGGATCTGCAGCGATGAGGAGGGGTGACAACATGAATGCCAGGCCCTGATAAATCTGGCCTGTAGCCATCCTCTGACCGGAGCCTGCTTCTGGGGACACACGTGACCCTGCTGTGTCCTTCTAGTGAACTCTGTGGTCTTCAGCTGTCAGCACTCCCTGTGGCAGTGAGGGACCTGTGCAGTGTCAGGCGGGTGCCTGCTCCCTGTCAGCTCCCCTCCTACTCCAGGCTGCCGGAGCAAGGGTAGGGTGTGTCTGTCCATACCTCTGCCTGCTCACACCCATGGGCCAACAGGGAGAAGGACACTTGTCTGCCCTAATCTTGGGAGTGTGTGTACATGGGGTGGATGAACACCTCTCTCTCTGTCTTTCTCTTTGTCTCTCCCTCTCTCCTCCCTACTCATAATAGTGACAAAATCATAAGATACAAAGGAATAAATCTAACAAAAAGTCTTCATGGAAAACTTTCTAATGTAAAAATCATTAATTTATAGGTTTCAGTTCTAGAAATGGCAGGCTGAGTAATAAAAACCAACCCACTCAGAATGCAACAATAGCAAAAAATGTTGAATTAAATATGAGAAAATCCTGAAAAAAAATTCAGGAACAGGTGACACAGTAATGGTAATTGGGCTAAAATAGAATATGATCACTTGAAGCGCTCAATCATGTCCAAATGTGCTTTCCTTTAAGGACATTTGCTACTCAAGAAGAATCAACAGCAAAATTGAGATTATGGGATAGAAAAATTTAAAAACAACCCAGGTCAGCCTGATGCTCACCAAGACTCAGTCTGGGGCCAAAAGATCAGGCCCACGGGTTGCACTGTGGGTCCATGTGAGGGTTGCGTCAGGGCTGTCCCGAGAGGTGAACCCCTTCCTGAACTAGCTCTCCTGCTTCCCTTTCCACCTCTCCAGCACTGGGCTCCCTCCCCATTCTTTATTTTTATTAAAAAAAATTTTTGTATTGTTTGGTACTGGGGATTGAACTTGGGACCTTGCGCTTTCTAGGCAGGTGGCAACACCACTGAGCTAAATCCCCGGCCCCCTCCCTGTTCTTTAAAAAAGCAAATTTATTTCCGCAAAGCATGTTGTCTCCCCAGGCTCACTTCTGGGCTGGCTTCTTAACATTCAGTTAACAGATGAAAAGTATTCTTCAATAAGCAGCCTTCCCAGGCCACTCAGTTCAAAAGTATCTAAAGCCTGCCATCTCTCAAACACCTCCCTGCTTTTTTACTTCCCTGCAAGGCGTTTTTCAGGAGTCCATGTGTCCCTTCTTGCTGACTTCTTTATTGCTTATGTCTGTCTCTTTAAATAATGCCACCAGGAGCAGGAGTCCTGGACAGGACACTGTCACACCAGGAGGGGATCCGTGACACTCCAGGACTGTGAGTGAGAACAGGCCTCCCGGAAGCCCAGAAGCTGGCCAGCCTTCCCTGGAGCAGGTAGGCTGCTGTCCCTCAGGAGAGGCTGGGAAGCCAGCACACATTTCGACAGATGCAGGAGCAGTGAACCAGAGCACCTCTGGTTTATTTGACAGCAGCTGTTCTTTCTGTTCTCTGACCTCTGTCCTGGGGACGGCAATTTAGAAGACGAAGAGGTGGCAGCACATGATTATGCCACATGCTCTTATTTAATTGAAATGATCTCATTTTGCAGTAAAGATTGCACATGGCAGCAGCCCCTAGCACCGGTTTCTGCTGTCCTTTGTGAGCCCCACACCAGACTCTGGGCCCTGTGGCCCATTCTCTTCCAGCATCTCTTGGCTATTCCCCCTCCTCTCTGTAATTCCTCCAGTGCCTTCAAGCCTACTTGGCCTCCTCCCTCAGCAGCTAAATTTTAATTATCTCTTTCTTTATAATCTTGTGGTGTCTTGTTTATTTTACTTACATATGTTCTGTGCAAGACTCTGATGTCAGGGCTCCTGCTGAAGCCAGTATATAGGGGCAACCTGTGTCTCCCCACAACCTGCAGCATCCGCTCCAGTAGGGCAGGAACCAAAAGTGTCTGTGTCCTGCCTTGTGCTCTGTCTGAACCCACAGGAAAGGAACTGGCAAAGTTAAAGATATTTCTTTTCCAGAGCTTCCATTTTCCAGGTCCTGCAATAGCCTCTCATTTTCTCCTATATCCGCCTGAACAGCGTCTTTGGTCCATCAGTTAATCCAGAAAAGAAATAGGACTGGTTAACTTCTGTGGTATGCCAGTTCCAGTCACAAGCATAGATGTTCAGATGTTCTCTCTCTCTCTCTGCGCCCTGCTTTCTCTCTCTCCCCCTTCTTTCCTTCCTTACTTCCTCCTCCTCTTCCTTTTTCTCCTTCCTCTCCTTCTCCTTCTTCTCCTCCTTCCTCTCCTTTCTCCCCTCCTCCTTTGCCTCCTTTTTCTTTTGGGGTACTTGGGATGGAACCCAGGGCCTTCACACTGAGCTGCATGCCTCTTTCTTTCTCTCTCTTTTTCCCTTTCTTTCTCTCTTTCTCTTTCTTTCTTTCTTTCTTTCTTTCTTTCTTTCTTTCTTTCTTTCTTTCTTTCTTTCTTTCTTTTTTTTCTTTTTGAGATAGATTCTCACTAAGTCACTAAATTGTCCAGGCTGGTCTCAAACTTGCGATCTTCCTGTCTCAGCCTCCCAGAGTATTAGGATGACAGGTTTGTGCCTCCATGCCCAGGATGTTTTCCTTTAATGTATTGAAATAAGTTAAAGGTTGTAGTGGTTGAGTCAAGAACTTCTATAGCCTTTGTAACAATGTGGTTCCAGATCCCTCATCTCCATCCCCACCTCGGTGAAGTAGCCATTTCCAATTCTTCTGCCTGATTTTTCTCCTGGGGTTACGACCTACACTTCTCTATAAAACAGCCCGTTGCTTCTATGCCTTGAGTTTTCCATTTTAGATCGGATCTAGTGACCTCCTGAAATATAAGATTCACCTCTCTCAATGCAGACACTCGTGTGCACTGTGCACACACACATACAAGCACACTCACTTACTTTCCCCCCAAAATGCTGGAATCTGTGCCATATCACAATCATTTTATGTCTTATCTAAGTTCCTCCCTGGAATTAGTACTCTGTTTCTTTGTATCCGTTTAGATTTCTAAGAAGTCATAATTAATGCCTCCTCTTCCACCCTAACAGAAGGCTAACTCTCTTAACATATTGGATTATTTTCTTCTTGCAGGCATGGATTATGAGTCTTTTATCTCTTTCTCTAACAAGCTGGGCCTGTGCATTGCTGCGCCCATGAGAATTTCCTTTATAATCATCCTGGAAATTTGCTTATTCACATGCTTTTGTCTTCTAGGTTAGATATTCCTTTCCTAGAATCCATCTCTTCCCCTTCCTTGGATTAATTCCTCATTTAATGGAGTTCATCTAACAAAAAATTCATGGGCAGAAAAATGTTGAGACCTTACTTTAAAGGTTTTACCTTTTCCTTTTGTCTGGGGTTTGAGTGCAAGAAGGTCTGCAGTGAAAAAGAGTTTTTCCACCGCAATTGTTGTGGATGTTGCTACTCTTCCTCGGCACCTTTAGTTGCTACTGAAAATCCTCTTCCAGATAGCTCTTTTTGACCAGCAAACTATCTCAGAGGTGAGTGCTTAAACAAGGATTTATGGTCCAGGCGGCTGGCAGCTCTCTCTGATATCCACACTGGCTCCTGTGGTGGCACTCTGCTGGGACAGAGCTGGGGACAGGGCTCGGCCGGGCCTTTGCATTCCTAAAGGGCTGTCTGTCCTGGGATCCCTTAAGCAGGACAAATGTGTTCAGAGAGGGAAGACCCCAGGCACCACATCAGCATATTGAGCACTTGCTGGCATCTGAATTGTTGATGCCCATTGGCCAATGCAAACTTGGTGGCCAAGTCCAGGGTTTGGGTGAGAGCTGTCACGCAGGACACGGATAACGAGAGGTGTGACTCACCTGGTGACTTCACCATAACAATGTGTCAGCCCCCCTCCAGCACACTGATCCCCCACTTTCCACACGCAGCACATACAGTGTCCCAGTAAGGACCCTGAAGGGTGATTGGACCACAGCCTTGAGCCCAAATTACAGACCTACAGCAAACCCAGATGGACTGTGGATGCTTCTCTGCTGGAGCCAGAGGTGGGCGAATCAAAAGAAATGCTCTCTGCTTCCTACTCATCAGCCCACAATGGCGGGTGAGCACAGGATACCTGGAGCAGACACCCCTATTGAAAAGGGGGAGCACAGAGAGCTCTCTGGCCCATAGCAGTTCTGAAATCTGGCTGGCAGGGGACTGCTCTCTGGCACAGGGATCTTCACGTAGGCCCACATTGTCCCTCAGAAGGAGTTCTCCAAATCATAGCTTCTCAGGTTTCTTGGTTCCATCTTCTGGGGATTTTCCTTCTGAAACATCTTTTCTTTCTGTAAGAGCTAGTTCAAGAACAGCTTTCTCAGCTCCTGCCTGTATGCAGAGGTTGACATCCCTCCAGGCACCTTTGTTTTTGAAAGATTTCTACTCCTTTTGGACAAAACTTGTACAACTTCTTTACAAACCGTGGGGACATTCTATAGTCCCTAAAGCCACACTCATGATTCCTTCTGAGAGAATCATAGGCCACACCAGGTATACAGGAGAGGTTTAAATAAAGAAAAATTATAGTACAAGATACATTGTTATTAATCCTCATTAAAATCGTCCTTTTGTTTCAAACACACTCATCCCATCATTCTTGCCACTTTCTGCAGCAGGTCTGGAGTCCTCTTTCCTGAGGCTCTTTACCAGGTGTGATAAAAAATATGATGACTACTGTTGCTGAGTGCCACCCAATGAAATGACTGACAGGTTTGTAAAGACACGATGCTGTGTCCTCATCCACCTTAGTCACTGGATCTGGCATTGTGTGACTTCTGGCTCTTCCTCAAAGTCAAAATGACCATGAAAGGGAAATATTTTGAATCAATTAAGGGCTTTGAAGCAGCCAGGACAGTGTAGCTAAAGACTTTCAGGAAAGAGGACTCCAGAGCTGCTGCAGGAAGTGGCAAGAATGTTAGGATGAGTGTGCTCAAAGCGAGGGTGAGTATCTCAAGGAGGGTGATGCCACTGCCTGTGATGAGTTTTAAACTTTGGACTCTCACTGTATTTTTTTTTTAATCACACCTTGTATTTACAGCACTGAAGGGTCTCAAGGTGATATTTTCTGGCTAAGGAAATATGCTGAGCTGGGGTCTTCACAAACAATCTGTGAGCATGCCCTTGCTCTCTTTCCCGCTGAGGCCTTTTCTTACTTTGCGAGTCTTTTGTCAGCTAGAGCCTGAAAATGGAACAGTTTGATTTTCTAACCCTGTAAGTCTGGATTGGAAATTCTCCTTGCATAGTGAAGAGATCTTTCTTTAGCTCATTTTCATCTTTCTTAGTCTAATCATATGGCACTAACAGAAGCCAAATGGCACTTTCAATATTCTGCCTAGAAACCTTATCTGCATACTTGGGTAAATTTGGTATAGTTCCTATTTTCTAACAGTTTCACCACTTGTTTCATTATGACCAAATCTGGGTCATCATCTTTTCAGCCCCAGGTATTGGTTTTATCTCTGAGTTACAGGCTCCCACCAAGCACCCCAAGCCCCTGGCAGCCTCTCCTGCTGTGTGTTCCTCAAGCTGGTGAGCCAAGCTGTAGGGTTTTGTTACAGGATTTCTGCCCTATGTCCAGACCACTTTCTGCTTTAGTCATCTAGTGTCACGAAACAAATTGCCTGAGAATGGGATCATGTACGTCACCCTGCAAAGCACTACACATTTGGGAAATCGTCTCTCCTCCATTCATTCCAAGACATTCAATTTGAAGATGGAAGAAGTGCTCTGTTTCATGTGAATGGCAGGCAGGAGAGTGGATAGCAAACTCTTAACATCGATCTCTGATGTGGAAGTGGGATACTTTTGAGTGCAGGTAGAAGTTTCCAAGTCTTCCATCTCTAGCGAAAGGCTTGTTGTGCCATGCTTTAAATAAAACAGTATTTTATTTTAAGATGTGCGTCTCATTGGAGAACTGATTGAAAACGCACTTACTGGGAACTTTGCAAGGTGAGCTGGTTTGTTTTTGCTCCTGTGAGTAGATTTCAGTAGCAATTACCAAGCAGGGATTTGGAAGCTTTTGCTTCCCTGTGCCATCTGATGCCATATTGTGTGACCTTAGGCAGGTGCCTCGTGGCTCTTCAGGGTGCTCTTGTTTGTGATGTGGCGAGGTTAGGCCATCTGGTCTGTGTCATCTCTCCAACCCTGAAGAGTCCACAGAGGAATGATTGGGGCCGTTAAACAAACATGTCCATCTGGACATTGGACTTACCATCAAAGAAGACAGAGTGTAGTATTCAGGAAAACTCCCGAGACAACTTCCATAAAACATCTTGAGTTATTTTAGATAATATGCCATGAAACCTCCAAGCTTTTATTTACTAATAAGCTTGATGCTGAGACAAACCAGTCAGGGT